GAAAAGGTGAACATTACTATTCTGACACTTCGGCGTACAAAAGACAAAACGTAGTCTTCTTCGGGTCAACATCCTCCACTACGGTATTCCAAGTCTTGAACCTCAAAACTCTTCGCTACTGATCAAAAACAAGAGCACTAACGCAACCAACAAAACAAGTCTTCGGTCCTTCAATACACTTCATAGTTGCCGATGGTCACTTTCACGCATCAACAATATTGATCTTGATTTCTATTTATAGAGGAAAGAATTTGAGATTTTTTTTCTATTCAGTTTTTTTGGATATAAAGTATACCTGAATATTAGAAAAAAACACAAAAACAAAGGGACTTTTGTTTTAGAAAAAAGTTTGATATATATATATATATATATATATATATATATATATATATATATATATATATATATATATATATATATATATATATATATATATATATATATGGAAAGCTTTTGTTTTTAAAATGGTTAAATATTATAAAGAAAAACAAAAAAGAAGACTAGCAAGAAACTAATCCATCAAAAAGTACATCAAGAGCAAAAAGCTAACAGGGGTTTTGGAGCCAACCAACCCACTTTATTTTTTTCTTAGCCCCAGTGTTACACCAATAAAAAGTTTGAATACAAAACTTATCAAACAAAACAGCCACCCGTGGACTAGAATGAGCAAAACTCAGATCATTCCTGAAATTCCAAATGCGCCATCAAAGCCAAAACAAAACACCTTCCAATCAACTTTTAATTATGGTATATTCAGTTTTTTTTTCAATAAAAACATTGCCTAAAAAAATTAAAAGAAATAATAAAGTGATATTTTTAGTATAATTTGATACATATGACTCCAAATAATGGTTTTTTTGTTTAATATATATATATATATATATAGATATATATATATATATATATATATATATATATATATAGATATATATATATATATATATATATATATTCTTTTGTGAACTTAAGATTTGCAAAAACATGAGAACCCTAATCCGATCAACATTTTTCGAAACCAACACCAGCATTAGACTCCATGAGCTACGTCTAAGCTATAACCATGCTCCACAAAAAGATTTAATGATTTTTTTTAAATGTCAATATATTCACATCTAAATGTGCATGCGTGCACATATATATATATATATATATATATATATAATATATATATATATATATATATATATATTTTGTGTTTTTTGACATTTTCATGTAGCGATTATCATAACCGTCTGTATAAGAGACCTATTTTTGTGTTGTTTTTTTTTTGAAAATAATACAAAATATACAAATATGCACATTCAAATGCGTATACACACACATTTAGAAAAATCATCAAATTATCTTTTTTTAGCCTAGAGGCTTAGATGCAACTTTATGAGTTCAATGATGGTGATGGTTATAAAAAATGTTAATTGGATTAGAAGTTATTGAGTTCTAGCAAATTTTTAAGTTCTTACAATAACCTTTATATAGATATATATATATATATATATATATATATATATATATATATATATATATATATATATATATATATATATATATATATCAACAAGGAATCATTTCAGACCAAGGAACCTGCGAACCAATAATGGCCACTAGAAAGAAAAAGATCAAGAATTAAAAAAAAAAAGATGCACATTATAAGATTAGACTCACATGCACCGGGTCCTATAAAAAAACCTATTTTTTCATTTTGTTTTTTTTAGTATTAAATTTTTAACGAAAACAAAACCGAATATACCAAAATTCATAACTTTTTATCTGTTTTTTTATAGACATTATATTGATATACAAAAAATAAACTTTTGCTTTCCAAAAAACACGCTTCCTTTTTGTCATTTTTTATTATTATTTATTCTTATTTTTATCGAATAAAATAAAATAAATAGATCCAAATTCATAATTTTTGATACTCTTTAAATAGACATTAATAAGATTGTAAAAAAACTGAAACTATGTATAGATTCACGTTGTTAATCTGATCTGCATATATTTTTATTTTTAGCATTCAAATTGTGAATAAATTCACTTGTGACCTTTACAAAACCAATTTATGAGTAATTAAAATGTTAAAACATAATAAAATCACAGGGAAATATACGTGTGATTCACTTGTAAATTTCATTAAATTAAATTGTGAATGATCAAAGTGTTGAAATAGCAAGTCAAATTCACATTTTGAATGATCGATATGAATGTCTATTTAAAGAGTAGCGAAAATTACGAATTTGGATATATTTATTTTATTACTTTTGATAAATAAAATAAGTATAAATATTAAAAAATAACAAAATGTAGCGGGCTTTTTTCGAACATTTTTTTTATGTATCAATAAGGATTTCAAATGAAAGATGACTTAAAATTATAAGAACGGTATATTATTGGGTTTTTTCTATAAAAAACTTGAGAATTATTATTATTATTATTATTATTATTATTAAAATAGTGGTGAGCCTTTATTATGATTTGGTGTATGAGCCTCTAAAATTTCAATGTGCAATCATCTTTTAGTCTTTTGACGTGTACATAATTTTTCAACACCAAAACCATTAATATTAAAGAAATGCAGCGTCCATATCCAGACTAAAAAAACTTTGACGATTTTTTTTTTGAAAAATGTTCATATATTTGCACTACTGATTCATGCATGTATATCTATGTCTGCAGTCCATATGACTGTTGACGCGTAGTTTTCAACTGATGATGGATTGGTTTGCAACTTCTCACGTTTTTTTAGTTCGCACAATAACTCAGCATATATATATATCTTATATATATATATTTATATATATATATATATATATATATATATATATATATTATATATATATATATATATATATTAATGAGAATAAAGAAATCGAGAATGTGAGAACAAATTTTGGTCACATATATTTTTTTCTGCCGCAAAACCCTTTTGTGTATCGACGCGACAGAGGAACTTAATATTCATATGTGAATATAAAGGTAACTATATTCTCGCATATTACAAATTTGTCGCTTAAGCGTTCCAATGTACTGGGATGATGGAACAGATAACATTCATATATATATATATATCGTATATATATATTATATATATATATTTATCTGTATATATATATATAGAGTCAGGTTCTTTTGTGAATCAAAAGATTTGTGAGAACTTGCGAACTCATATTCAGCTTATCATTTTTCAACACCAAAAACACCAATCTTCTCCAAATGGTGCGTCTAAGCAATATCTAGGCTAAAAAAAGATTTGATGATTTTTTTTTTGGGTTTTTTGTATGACTGCTGATGAGTACAATCAGTAGTTGTACAGACTGCTGATGAGCCTAATCAACGGTCATATAGATTGCTGATGAGCACAAATAGCAGTCAAATGGACTGTTGATTGCTCATCAGCAGTCCATATGGTTGCTGATTGTGCACATTCGCAGTCGATATGACTACTAATTGTGCTCATCAGCAGTCTGTACAAATGTTGAGTGTGCATACATGCAAATTTCGAAAATAAATAAAATAATTTGTCAAATCTTTTTTTTTTTGAGTCTAGATATGGCTTAGATGCACCATTTGGAGAAGATTGATATTTTTGGTGTTGAAAAATGATGAGTTGATTATGAGTTCGCAAGTTCTTATGTTTTTAGCTATTATAATAACTCAACCCTCTATATATATATATATATATATATATATATATATATATATAATATATATAGATATATATATATATATATATATATATATATATATATATATATATATATATATGTGTGTGTGTTTGTTGTTAATCTATAGTAATATATAACACTTTTAAAATATATGGATATTACAAAAACCTTTCCAATGTAGCCATGTGTCAAAACATTATCTGCATTTATATCTTTTCAAGATTTAATGAAAACAACTAAAGGTTAGCATTATATTCTAAAAAAAATATATGTCCATATTAAATATTGAAATATACGTGCAAGCACACAAGATGGAGAAACAACGTCGGTTTTACGCAAACTAGATTTCTTAAATGATTTGGAATCAAGATAGATAAGGGGGAATCCAATAACTTCACATCAAATAACTTTAGAAATGCACAAACCAAAAGTAAAATTCCCCTCGCTTTCGATTCTTCACATACCCATATTGGTCCACAGCTCCTAATACGAAATGTTTGGTCTAGTACAATTAGGTAGATACATGAGAGCCCTAATTGCATTTATGTATGATACTCCTGGACCAAAAACTTCGTCATTTGCATCACAAGGGTGATATGGATCTTTTTAGTTATTGAGTGATCTACCAACCATTGGAGTGCTTAAAGTTTTGGATTTTGTCCATGTTGAAACATTTGAAGATCCTTTCTATATAGTTTTAGTTCCTGCTTTTGTCCATGTTGAAACATTTGAAGATCCTTTCTATGTAGTTTTAGTTCCTGATTTCTTGTGAGTTACTTGATTAGAAACTGTTTCTGTAAGGATTATCTTTATAATCTGAATTTCGTGATACTCTTGTATAGGGTCGAAATATCATATTCGGAAAATGTTCTACATGATCCTTCAAATAATCCATGAAACTTCTTGATTCCAGAAACAATCATATTCTTGTCAAACCAACATAGAATGGATTTGAGTTGCGGTTCTGAAAAAAAATATATGAAACCGCAATATGGTTTACTGTCTGATAACTTTTTATTTATACTTTTAAGTAATTAACATATAAGTGGAATAATTTCATGTGTCATGAAACAGATAAGTGGAATAATTTCATGTCATGAAACCATGTTTACGTAAACATGGTTGATGAATACATATGGTGCTATCAAGAACACTATTCTATTTCACTTCATTTTCATGCCTTTATTCCTTTCAAGGCATTATAAAATTATTCCATAAACGCTATTTAAATGGCACCATGCTTTCTTCACTTCCTCACACCAAATTAAACTTCCTTTTAATTCCCTTAGCAGAACCTTGAGCTTAAAATTTTCATTACAAAACGCAGACATTTTTATAATGGATGTGGTGACAAGAATGGTGTCGGAGAGGCCGGTGGTGATATTTAGCAGGAGTTCATGTTCAATGTCTCACACAATAAAGTCTCTCATTTTCGAATTTGGAGTAAACCCGACGGTTTATGAGCTAGATGAGATCTCCAGAGGTCGGGAAATTGAGCAAGCACTTTTGAGGCTTGGACGCAACCCTATCATCCCTGCTGTGTTCATAGGAGGTAAGTTTGTTGGTGGTGCCAATGAAATTATTAGCCTTCACCTTCAACGATCTCTTCAACCGCTTCTCAGAAATGCAGGAGCTCTATGGGTGTGACCAGCCGTCGACTAATCTGGTTGTAATAAATGCGCTTTAATTAGGTGCATATATACTGGTTGTTTAACCATATTAAGTTGAGTTAACGATGAAGGCTTTTAGATATAATGTTATTTCGGTTTCCCTTTTTCCCTTTTAATTAACTGGTTTGGTTCATAAAATATCCTCAAACCGATGAGCTATGTACATTTTTATTCAATGAAGCTACTTCAGAATACCAATATACGTACCACGCCTCATGAATAACACTATCTGTGATTGACATTCCTAGTTAATTATTGAACTTAATGTATTCACTTATTGTTAAAAGAAATTAGTGAAGGCCTTTGCATAAAAAAGTGCATATACTCATAAAGTAGCTCATGATCAAAAGAATACGTAAGGTAACGCAGAATGTGTTATTTAAATGAGTTCTTAACTTATTTTAGCTTCTGTTAAGATACGTAGATGGAAGTACGTAAGATTGGAATTTAAAGTACGAGACTAGTTAATTTTGTTAACTAGTGACCTTTATGACGAGATCATATATAAAGAAATTAAATAATGCAATAAATAAATAAAAATATGAAAAGGAACTTGCGAGTCTTTGGGAGATCTTGAAGAGAATTTATAACGACGAGGTATAATAGTCGAAATATTTTTATTTTTAAGTGGATGAATAGAAAATATAAGTGAACGTATGATCTTCCATAAAACCAAGGCCGGTCCAAAGATATAGTGGGCCCAGGGCGAAAGGACAAAATGGACCATTGAAGTTGAAAATAAAACCAAGGCCGGTCCAAAGATATAGTGGGCCCAGGGCGAAAGGACAAAATGGACCATTGAAGTTGAAAATAGACAAACTGTTATAAAATTCATTATTAATATTAAAAATGAAAAATATGGCCACAACGTTACAAAAACAACTAATTTAAAGAAAAAAAAAATTTCCTAGCATTAGTTGATTTTTTTCTCTCTATATACATATACCATATATTCTCGGAATTTTGGGCCCCTTAGAGACATGGGCCCTGGACGACTGTCTGGACCGGGCCTGCATAAAACATAATTTTTTTAAAGATAAATAATATATATCCCATTCAAATATGTAAATATATTTTAGAAAAAACATCATAAATGGTCCTTGCGGTTTTCCCAAATCAAAAGTTTAGTTCTCATGGTTTAAAAATTCCATATATGATCATTGTACTTTCAAAACTTTTGACGGTTGGTCCTTATTGCTAACTCCGTTAAGTTTAATCCGTTTACCGAAGGACATTTTTGTCATTTCACTACCACAATGACCATTTATGATGTTTTTTCTTATTTCTTTTAAAAAAGAAAAAATTAAATATAATTATTTGATGTATAAAAGGTCTCACCTCTCTCTCTCTCTCTCTCTCTCTCTCTCTCTCTCTCTCTCTCTCTCTCTCTCTCTCTTCCTAAAAACTACACACACACTAAGATTACTCTACCCATTTTTGTGAGCCTTCCTTCACGTAGTTAACTTGTAAGCTACTTGGGTTTGATGTTTTCTTCGTTGTGTTGGTTCAGGCCCAATTTCACACAGCAAAACAGAATAAAGGGAAGAGGATATGGGATAATTTTATGTGTATTTCTTCTCAACTAATAATGATTACAAAGACTCATATTTATCTTATCTAAATGTTGGAAATAAGGAACAACTATCCACTAAGCTAAAATAAAGGAACGATGGCGATCAAGGCATTGATTAACTCAAATGAAATTAAAACACGTGCACTTCTAAAACAAGTCATGTTCCTCCTGGATTAACCTAAAATGCTGAATAATGAACTCGTTCAGGTTCCTACACATCTCTTGTTTGATATGTGTTTGTATTTCGAAAGTATTTCATTTCCATAACCTTAGTGAAAGTATGTTTCTTTCATATATTGCAATATGTAAAAAAAATTCTTTGAGGTGTTTCATCGAGCACCTAAAGTGCATTGTTCTCCTCTTTCCTTTTTTGATTTATTTATTCGAAATTATCACCACTGGAAGCATACGATTCCAATTTTCTTTCCATGACATACAATTCAATAAATAGATGAAGATGTATAGATATAGGAATACAAAATTAAGGAGTTGGAACTAAAACTTTTCTATGATCGGATGGTCCGGACAATTTTGATAGTTTTTGCTGCAAAAGTTTTCATTCTTTTCTCTTTCCTTTCATTGAGCATTCCCTGCGATTATACCCACATTTTTGAAAAGTTGTTATTCATCATCATCCAAAAGGTTCTCAATGTTCGGTTAAACATCTTCATCTCCATCTTCATCTTCACCATCAAAATTGAAATCAACAGGGTTACGCCGCTTAACAACCAATTTCTTCTTCTTTTTCTTCTTGGTGACAAGATTTTTCATGGCAGTTGTCAAACCCCTAGTTTGAATAGACTTAAGTGTAGAATTTCTAGCTCTTACACACCAATCTGAGGTGTCTATTTCTTCAAGTAATTCAAATTTTTCTTTTTGTTTTCTCTTATTTGGGAGATCAATTTTCCCTATTTTTCATAATTGTGTATATATACCATGCTCTTCTTCAAACAAGAAAGAAGAATAAAGAATAAGAAAAAAAAAACGATACTTTTTTTGTTGTAGTGAGAGAAAGTGTATGTAGGTGTAGAGAAAGAGAGACCTTTTATATATATTAAGTAATTATATTTAATTTTAAAAAATAAGAGAAAACATCATAAATGGTCCTTATGATAGTGAAATGACGAAAATGCCCTTCGGTTAACGGACAAACTTAACGGAGTTTAGAATAAGGACAAATCATCAAAAGTAAACCACAAGGATCATCTATGAAAATTTTAAATCCTGAGGTTTAAACTTCAGATGTAGGGAAACCACATGGACTATTTATGATGTCTTTTCAATATTTTATTTAACAATATAAATTTAAATTTGTATAGAATTAAAACTAAAAACAATTACTTTAATTTTTAGTTTTTTTATTTATATTTAAAAGTGAGTAGCTTAACTTTTTCTGAAACTAAATAATTTATTATCTATTAAAATCATATCAAACAGAAAAATATTTACTTGTAGATATAATTTTAAAAAGTTGGATTAACTGTGTTGGTAATAATATATATTAAGTTAAAATATTAGTTAGGGTTGTATATGAATACATAAAACTTTTTTATTAATAAAAAGTTGGTTTAAATAAGTTGTAGTAAATAAACACTAGTACAAAACTGCATTATGGCGTCGGTTTTTTAAAATTGGATCTTTTCGGTTTTCATATTTCTCATCACTAAAGGTCATAAAATAATTCACATGATTGTTTTCATGATAGTTTACTGAAAATGAGTCACCATTGCACATCACACTTCACACATTCATGTCGGTTTTACATAAAAAAAAATGACAATTTGTGCGACAACTTAAAACGGTGGGCAAATGTCATTTTTACTAACGGGTTTTATTATTTTATATGTACATTTATCTTGTATCGGTTATTAAGTGAGATATATGGTGTTGAAGTTTCATTTTATGTTATAAAATCTTACATTGAAGTTCTAACATGAAAAAACCCATGAAAAGTTGTGAAACGACCGAAAACAGTGGACAAATGTCATCTATTGTAACTGGTTTTTTATTTGATATGTAGCTTAATGAGCTAAGTGAAATCCAACTATCTAAGAACCGCTCTCGTCCTCGGTTCCCGGTTTGAACTGGTTTTAAAAACATTGGACATAATAACATAATTTGTCACTACAAGTTGTAAAATATCATTCTTGCTATCAATATTTTTTGTTCATGCAAATTATTCATCACATTCTATTTATATCGTTCTTCATATGCACCTAATATTACAAATAAATATGATCAACTCCACCCGTGTAGGAATGAAAAGAAATGATCGTACTAGCTAGGAAGAATTTGCCAAACTAATATTTTAACACATATAAATCTTAACAAAAAACAAAAAATATCAAACCAATTATTAAAAAAAATATTGGGTATACAACAACAGACCTCTATATAATAGGTATATATATTGAAAATTAACAAAAATAAAAATAAAAATAAAACAACTAACCTAAAATTGTTTACAATACTTATAAAAGATAAAAGAATAGTATTAGGTTTTGTCCTGCAGCTAGTGTATATTCACAACTTCTTTTTGCCCTTACGTATTTTTGTACCCTTACAGTTCGACCGAAAGTAATCATTACGGGATTTAGCAGTCATATCAAATTTATCTACAGGTGGCATTATATATTTATCTTTGTGTGGTAAAACTATTGTGATGTATTCCTCATCATCGCTTTCATATGCATCTCTAACTTTTTGGGGGTGTCAAGATCACAATTGACTTTTTATCCTCTGGGTCTCTCACATAAAATAAATGTCGTGCTTGTAAGGCAAGTATGAAGGTATCGTCCTTATGCCCTAATGTATCTAGTTCTACCAAGGTGTAGCCAAGAGGATATTTTTTAAACCTTTTTTTATTATGAACCCAGTCACACTTGAAAATAACAAATTTTCTTTTATGATAATCTAGAACCCATATATCTTGTAGAACACCATAATAAAAGATGTTGTCATAGGTTACTTCTTCGACTCTACGCAAACCCCACTAATTTGGTTAACTATACCTTCATGGGATTTTGTACCAAATAGGTAACCATTGATGTGATATAGAGCATATTTCATTACGACGTGCTGTGGGCCATGAGAAACCCACCTTAAGTCCTCTGAAATGCTATGTATGTTGATCTCCATCTCTCGCTCTACCTAAATATCGTTAAAAGGATAAGCATCATAGGGTAGATTGATCAGTTACTGTTTTATTCAAGCAATTGATGAATGACAGGGAAAAATATGCAAATTTCTCAAAACAAAAATTAACTTGGATCATTATTTTACTTCCTCTTTTAACCAATGACCGAAAGCTTCACAATGCTCTTTCTCCAACAATGCTTGTCTTTTCATGGGATGCTAATTTTTTTAGATGTAATTTGTACCGCCTATGGGTACATTGATGAATG